GCTGTGCTTTACCAGAAAGGTGAAGAGTGACTGAATTTCATTGTTAGTTCAGGCTACGTCTATCCTTATAATTCTGTGTATATCTCATAATTCTCCCTTAGAAGATACCAGAAATGAACAAATTTTAACTGTAAGATGTTTTGAAATCTTGGAGAAGAGCAGTTATAAAAGTGTGAAGTATACTGTTCTGTGGTTATTTTTAGCCAAAATCCAACAGATTATTGAAAGCTGATCGTATTTAAAAGGTTCCTTATAGTCTCACTTTTCTGGTAAATCCTCAGAAATCTTGACAGAACAGCCCTCTCTTGTGTGAAGCAGTAAAGAGGTGTAGTAGTACAGCACCATTTCTGCTTCCAAGAGCTTTCAATCTAGTGATAAAACAGGCAACAGTGACAACAAGCATAAAGAGGTAAAGGGCATATTGCACAAAACCCACGTGGCTAAAAGGAGACATTACTTAAGTCTTAACAGGCCAAAAGGGCACGGGGACACCTCACTGCTCAGCAGGGCCTGTGCTAATGTTGACTACAGGTCAGAATGTTACAAAGCCATTCAGTTCTAGAGAGAGTGGAGTGCCACATGCAAAGCTTTGTGGGGTAAGCTGGTGGAAACCATTGTGTTAGACCATCCTGTTCCTTCTCCATGAGTAGGAAGAGGACCTAACCTGTCCACATACTGACAACTGAAAGATGTGTTGATTCTTTCCTGAAAGAATTCTCTGACTCTGAAGATGTCAACCTCTGCCTTCTCTCTGCTTTTCCAGATGTTGTCACCCCAAATGGCTTGAACATTAAGAAATTTTCAGCAATGCATGAGTTTCAGAATTTGCATTCCATGTACAAGGCTAGGATCCAAGAGTTCGTTCGAGGTCATTTCTATGGGTATGCTTTTACTTTTCAAAAATTAGCAGTGGTTGTCCAACACCATTTAAAACAAGAACCAAAGCTGAAAGACTAACAAGTAATTCATAGAGGAGGTGAAATATTACCAACTTACTCAAATATCTGTCTGGGTTTTCTCAGAAGCTAAAGGAATTTTAGACACTAGTTCTAACTGCTCTAAGAGACTGTGGGATCAGGCAGGAGGTCTTAATTTTTTCATTATTTACCCAAGATGGAGTTTATCAGATTAAGAAAGTAATTTTAATTTAAAGAACAGCAGAAAAGCCTCATTTTCACTAAATTCTTATTATTCTTAATTATATTATTTAGAATTCTTAATAATTATATTATTAAATTCCTCCATAATAGCAAGCTGTTGTGTGTTTAGTTTGGTTGATTCCTGTGAAATACTTTGTGTATGTCTGTTTATTTGCTTGGTTTCAGCCACCTTGACTTCAGTCTTGAGAAGACCTTATTTTTCTTCATTGCTGGGAGATATGAGTTTTCCAACAAAGGAGCTGATATGTTTCTAGAAGCCTTATCAAGATTAAACTTTTTGCTAAGGGTAAGAAAGCTTCTGCAAATGTAGATAATGTAGAGCTTGTGCTCAAACTTACTACACTCTGGAATTCACCTGTAAAAATTTCCATGTCATACTGTGCTTTATAGGAAAATAATTATGGGATATTCAGAGTTTTCATAAAGATCTCTCCCTGAATTATCAGAGTATGTAACAATCTCAGGCTGCTTAAAAATAATTGATTACTTAGATTACAAGAAGTTAAGAAAGGAGGTTGCCTCCCTTTTTCTTAGAGAAAAACTCTTAGACTCTAATTCAAGAATTTACCCTGAAGGTTTGCATATTAGAAGGCAAATAAAAATAATCCTTTAATGATGAAGTTAAAAATATCTTTTTAAGCAAATTGCATATCATTAATACCTGACCATGATCTTTTAAATATTTGAGTACTATTATCACACTGGGTGGGAATCTTGCACCAAAATTCACTGTAAATTTTGTCAATAAACATGGGGAAGCTTCTCACTCCTCCATGCTTCTGTTTCCTCAGGTTAAAAATGAGTGCCAGGTTTCTAAATGCTTTTATGGAATACTTCAAAAAAGAGAAGATCTAGGCCTTGTCATGATCAAAAAACAAAGCACTTGCTATCTACAAATGAGGTCATTGAAAATGTCTTCAGATGTGTCCCAAAGACTGACACATTTGAAATAAAAAATAATGAAAAAGGCTAAGCAGTTTCCAGTCATCTAGCAAAGATCAACTGGCTGTTGATCTCACTCTTTTGTGCTCCATCATTTAAATGATTTTAAATGAAATCTGGATAAAAATCTTGTTATTATATTGTCAGCAGGGCTGAAAAAATACAAATTTTCAAAGCCCTAAATATACTTTTCTACCTCCACCTTCTATTAATACACCATTGGAGACTGTGGACTTTTTGGAAATACTTAATCCATTCACTCACATAACAGGTCATCAACATAAGTATTTCTTCCACAATTTTGCCAAACAACTGATTTTTGTTGTTTGGCAATGTTATGCAACGCCAGCTACCTGTTCATGGCATTTAGCTATTAACTATCAGTGCTGGTGATGTGGAAGGTCTTATGTGGTAAGAGGGAAAGAATTGCTGAAGCAATGATTGCCATAAGCTCTTACTGTAGCTAATGATGTATATGACATCAATGGCAAGCTAGAGTGGTGGGAAGTCAATGGAAACCAAGGCTCGTTTTCCAAAGCTCTCTGGAAGGGTGCACTGGGATTTGCTTCTCCCATAAGCTGAGCCTGGCTCTGTTGCATCACTGTTCCTGTATACATGCCAGCACCTGATTAGCTGTTCAAAGAACACTTATGCTGTAGTTCTTTCAAGAGGTACTTCCACTGGGAGCAGCAGAATGCCTGGACTACCTGTCAATCTGGGAATGATGGTTCTTTCCCAGCTGTGTGCCTGAACCTAAAAAATACAGAGAATTGGATGGAATTATTTCATTTTATAGAGTCCTTTTACCTACCTATTTCCAAATGTTCTTAACATTTTGGAAATAAAATATAAATGTTGAAACAGATTATTAATACCCACCAAGACTGTAGCATGATGGACTTTGAACCTGCCCTGAAGAGAGGGAAGGGAAGAACCTTAAACTGATAGGTGACTCCCATAGGTTGTTTTATATTATACATTTTCTTTTGCCTCCATCTGAAGGAATGCATGATAATTACATATTTCTGTGTCTAAAGTTTAGAATAGAACTTAATTTTTTACACCCTTAGCTTTTCTTTAAATAGTTGCTGACAGAAGTACAACCTCATTCTGCTCCGGGCAACGAACCCCTCAGGGACCTGGTATTCTGAACCCTGTCGGCACCCAGGAGAAAACAGCAAGTGAAACCATCTACACTTAAAGGGCTGGATTTTACAGCAAACTCTTTTTGCCTTTGCAGCAGCTGGATGTGAGAGATGAGCAAGAATTTACTTGCAGCTTTGTGTGTGTCCGTCACGTTCTTTGCCAGGGGTTCAGGTAGAAAAGTGGTTGCTGTCATGCCTCTTTCTGTCCATACATCTGGGGCACTATTGCTCTAAAAAGTGGTTCTGCTTGCTGCTGTAGGGAATCTCTTGCCCCATGCCTGAACATAGCTCAGCTAGTGAACTAATCGCTCACTCCTTTGAGCCAACATCGTTTTGTCAGGTGAGAAAATACATGGAGGGTTTTTATTTTTTGCAGCTGATGTTCACACCCTAAGCCACGGCCTCTAAACTGTGAGAAGTCAGGAGGATCTCAGTTGCCCAAACTGGAATGGAATGACACTGGTTTACGTGTATACCTCAGCTATATCTCTGACCTGACAAAAACTTAATAGCTGAAGGGAGAGCTGCAAGATCAGAGCCTTCCTGGACAACCAACCCAGGCACATTCTTTTCCTGTGACTAATCCTTAGTGGTAAAGGTGGCTGTGATACCTCGTAGTGAGATTTTTTTTTTTCCCTCTCCATCTTGTGTCCATTTAGGTTCATAAGACTGATGTTACAGTTGTTGTGTTCTTCATCATGCCAGCAAAGACAAACAATTTTAATGTGGAAACCCTGAAAGGACAAGCAGTCCGGAAGCAGCTCTGGTAATTGCCATTCTCTGAGGACCTTGTGCAAGGAATTGAAGAGAAATGCAAAAGTTTCTGATAAGGAATATGGCTCTTTTTTATTTTTCTCTGCTTAAATTGAAGACTGTGGTAACTAGAATGTATTTGTGGGAATGAAAGAGATGGGAATGATAAATAAGGGCAAATATTTACCTTTTTTTTATCCTAGGTTATTTTTAGTAAGTTTGCATTGCCATTCTTTTGTAACAAGTTGACAAATAGGACTTGTTTTGCAGTGGCAAAGTCAAAGGTTCTAGAAAATCCAGTGTTCTGGATGTCTTCTGGTGGTCCATGGTACTCCCTTTGGAGATGCTATTGAGCTCTCACAAAATAAGGACTGCCTGCTAATTTATCAGAGTGAGCTTCTCTGCCACCAGTGGGAATAAGAAATTAATTACAAGTTCTCTTTTATGTAACAACATGGAAATTGTGCTGTCTAATCCATCAGAATAACACTTGATAATAATAATCTGTATTTTTCTATATAGCCTACAATAAGCAATGGCCATACCCGGGCAGGGACTGTTACAGCTATAAAGGGAAAATTGTCACCGCCCTTCTCAGTTTGAGTTTTGATTTCACAACTTCACAAACAAAAAAAGCAAAGCAGGGCAGGCTGAACCTTCACCTCACTTCAACTGTTACGTGATTCTACGTAGGAGAAGACACGTGTTGGGAGGTCCTTCTGAACTGAGAGACATGGCAAAACTGAAGGTTCAAATTAATAGAGAAAATCAGTGGTGGGTTATCAAGGATGAATTTCATTTGAAAAAGTGAAAAATGCCATTTCACTCAACGTATTTACAGATGAATGATCTAAGCAGGGAAATTGAAATGTGTGCCTTATCGGGTGGCTAGAGTGGTTAAACTGCTGAAAAGTTAAGGAAAAAAAAAGTTAAGGAAAAAGTTAAGGAAGCTGGTCTTACAGCTAAGAGACTAAAAGCCCCAAGACCTAGCTTCTGATTTTATGCCTGTGTCTCACTGTGTTTAACCTCTTTCTCATGCCAGTTCTATATTTATAAAATGATATAAATCTAAATGACTTAAAGATCTGTAGATGAAAGGCACTGTGTGAGAGAAGGATACTGTTTTTCTTGTTATCTCATTAACCACTTCCAGCAGAAGTGGCTGGAGTTTCTCTGGCTCAGTTTCTGGATATTGGTAACCAAGTTGAAGTCTTTGATTAACAGATACTAAACCTGCACAAAAACAGTGACAGCAATAGTTTAACAGGGATCATTGAAATCATTTAGCTTCTGCCATATCTGGGAAAGAAGACAGATGTGAGAAATCTCTCTGTTCTCTAGAATTACACAGCAGCTTCTTAGGCTCACAGGAAACATTCTGTCTGATTACCTCTCTGGAAACAGGCAGGTTGAATATAATACAAGAGGTATATATTCAATAAATAATATATGGATGTTAGGAAAGTTTAAATTAAATGAAATACACAGATTTTTTTTTTCCCCCATTGTACCTCTATCACATGTTTATTTCTCTGGTGCTCAGTAATGCAGGCACCATAGTAACAGTAAAGGGAAACCTAAACATGTGAAATCATGCAAAAAAATGCTGCTTCTGGCTTTTCTTTCCACTGTGCTCTGTGAAAAGCAAAAGACCCCCTGCATCATCATATGCAGCATTATCATGGCCACAATCTGGATCTCCTGGATAAAACTACCTGACGTCAGTATCACATAATAATATTAGATGATTTTTGGATGCCACAGAAATTAAATACAAGAAGAGGTTAGCACCTAAAAAAGAATAGGTGATGGCTGATATGGGATATAAAATCCCTTGTTTTATCTGCTTATGAGAAAGTGGACTATCCTAGCTGGGTTAAGTTTTTGGATATTGTCTATGGCATGAGTTGATGAAAAAGGAGTAAAGAACAGACTAGCTTGCTGGGATTTGGAACAATTTGGTTTGACATTTAGGTGCTTTATAACTCATCCAAAATCAACTCTTCCATTTTTGTATCTAGGTGAGTTGGGAGAGAGCAACTAAAAACAGGTGTTTGGATTCTCAGCTTAGTAAAGTTTTGGATTTAACTTACTAAGTTTTGTCTTAGCCCAAAGTATAATTCTTAGTAATCAGAAAGGCAGGAAAACTTCCATGAAGTGGGTGTTTTACTCAAATTGATAGTGCATTTGTTATTTTGACAGCACTTCCATCTGTACTTTCAAGTTATTTCAGCTAGGGGCAGAATAATTCAGACGACTCCTCTGCATTTATAACAGTATTTCCCTGGGGTTCTTTATTAGCTAAAATATAACATTTGTCTGGCACAGGATTTATTATTAGCTTAAACCAGGGCATGAGCTTTTCAAGAAGTTTATTGGCTTGCAAACTAATTTATGGCAAACTACCTCTGAATTCCTTAGCTGTTTTAGAAAGTCTTTCAATTAGGAAATAGGGCAGAAAGTGAGAGAAGCTCACTTTAAAATCTCTGTCAGTTTAACTCTTACATCTTTCTCCTAGTCCCAGTTAAATTGGAGACCTCCCAGTCTTGATTAGTGTCCAGTGTTAATGATCGTGTTGCTCTATGTAGTTTCATACATATGTTCTCTTTTTCATAGCTGAGATGGAAGTGTGGTCTAGTGAGTAGAGCAAAAATTGGGAGTAATCACTAGTGCTGTCTGCTCCTGGATTTCACAGTGCATTCATCTTTGGATGCAGGTCAGGTCCTCAGTTGTGTTGAAATCCATCAGTATGGCTGCTGGCTGGATAAGAGCTTTAAGAACCAAACCTCTATCTGCTTCTGCATACTTGGCTCCATCAGTATACATGAAAGCACAATTTAATTTCCAACAGCAGGGACCTCTTTTATTCTGTCTTTGTCCTGGATTCTCCTGTTTTATACATATATTTACTTATTTCCCCAGGGACACTGCACAGTCTGTGAAAGAAAAGTTTGGGAAGAAACTCTACAATGCCCTGCTGAAGTGAGTGTCTAAGTTACTTTGCTCTGCCTTGCAGAGCCATATGTCCATTTGTGGTGTTTCTGTGCTTCTAGTCTGTGTAAGAAATTTTGACATCCATAGTAAGGGCATAGGGGAAGGATATGGGACCCTTTGTCTCATAGACAGATTCAACAGGCAAGTCACCAAAAAAAACCCTTAAAGGTATTAGCATGCCATTGTGGAAAGAGTCTTAAGAGACATGGGGATGTCTAAGTAACAGAAAGGCTTACTCACTGTCAAAAATGAGCTGCCTTAGCTTAAAAAAGCACCAGAGACAAAGTAATATCTGTTAATGGCTTAGTTGTATCCTTTCAAAAGACAGCTGGAAGTGAATGACCCAAAGCACAGATGACATGACTGGAACTTCAGCAAAAACAATGTGTGTCTGAAAAACAGAAAAAAAAAAAAAAGAATTCCTTAGCTTTTTTTTGGAAGCTAATTGGGAGGTCAGCAAGTGTATGGAAGAACAAAATGTGGGGAATATAGAAGGGGCATGCAAACAAAGGAAATATTCATGCTGACAGCAGCAGACTTCAGATCAAACCTTGTTCACCTTTTCTTCATTTTCTTTATACAACTGATAATAAGTCATTTGGTAAAATAGGCTCTGTGTTGCCTCTGCAGAGGAGAAATTCCAGACTTGAACAAGATTCTGGATCGAGATGATATAACCATTATGAAAAGAGCCATCTTTTCAACTCAGGTCAGAAAATGTATTAATTACACAAACATCTGGTATGCAAGATAAACATGACCATGTACAAGGATTGTGTATTACATTTAGTGATATGCATGCTTTGAAAAGAAGTATTCAGCAAACAGGCTTCTCAGCAGTAACATTGAAAGATCGGCTGTGACTTTTTAAAATTAAATTATAACCCAAACCTATTCTTTTGGGCAATACCTGGATATTTCCCCAGTCACATGTAGACCAGTTCCTAATTTTTTTCTTCTGCACTAAGTGTGAACTTTGCACTGTTCCTGAAGCCTGGATTCTTCCATTTTTATTAAACATGTAAAATTAGTCTTTTAAGGAGACTTAAGGGATTGACTAAAAACTTTTAAAGTTAAACAATAAGCCTTTCTGAGAGTTAGTGCAAATACATTTATTTTGACATAAATGAAACAAGTCCTGCCACAGATTCTGTGACCTAATTTGTGGCCTTAGTTTTATGGTCATATAATGTTGTCTTCTCTCTTTCCTTTCTTACCTTCAAATGAAAGGCTAAAAACCTATTCCCATCAATGACAAAATCTGCCACTGTCTTCCACTAACCTTAGAAAATGGTAACAGGGCTCTTTGCCAAGAGTTTTGTCTGGCTTATGGATTGCCCTTCCTCTCTTTAGAGACACTGTCTGCCTCCAGTGACCACCCACAACATGATTGATGACAGCAATGACCCAATCCTCAACACCATCCGACGCATCGGCCTCTTCAATAACCGGACAGACAGAGTGAAGGTATGTTCTGTCACCTTCTTTTTAGATATAAAATAGAGGTTCTTTAAACAGTCTGAGTCTGGATCATAAACATGGGGAGTGCAGTCAAATTCTTGACAGGCAGTATTATACTAACAGAGCACTTCCCTCTTCCTGCCTTTCCAGGAATGACAACTGATCACTTCACATATATCTTCCATTGCTGTTCAACCAAGTTAATTTCAAATTTAAAATCTGAAGTTAGGGAATTGTTTTCATTCCTGTGTCCTGTACTGAATGAGGAGCTACTATTCCTGCAATGCAGAAAGTGCCACAGATTGTTTGCACCCAGATGTTAAACTCTGTAATAGATTCATCTGCTTAAAACTGGAGCTCCAGGATTTGAGCACAGACATTCCTGGAGTATTGGGTCAGTTTTTATGAACAGCACCCTGATGCTCAGCATTTGCTATAGAAGGTAACCAGGGCTTTGGTCCTGAGCAGAAATACCTCCAGCTCATGCTGTGCTCATGTTTGTGTAAACTGCTGAAGCTGAGTGTATGTAAATAAATGCTTTCTTTACTTCCATGTCAGAAATCCAGATTTGGTCTGGGAATCTCTGGCATTCTCTCTGTTAACTATGACTATCTTATCATCTATCTACTCAAAGAAGAACCTAAAATTGCAAGTTCTTCCTCTTCCAAACATTGCTTTTAAAGTCAGATCCATACTGTCACTGACAATGACATATTTCTTTTGTTTTGGCTTTTAAGCCCATGACAATAATGGAATAAATATTTTCCTCAACTTCCTAGTTGCTTCTTCCTGGTTTAACATATTTTCTGCTAAGTGTGTGCCTCCAATAAGCTCTGAGAGCATAGTTTGCTAATCATATGCTAGGCTTAACAAACATAGGGTTGGAAGGATGCACTATATATAAATGTAACAAAAAAATTCCTCAAAACTAACTGCTTTGAAGTCATCAGAAAGCAGATAGTGTGTGAAAAATAGCCTCAGCAATGCCAATGGAAAATCTTATTTGATTCACTGGGGTTGAATAAGCTTGCATAAAAAGTTTACAGCTCATTTACTGGCTGAATACATAAATGTGTTGATTTACTCAAGAGAGTAGCATGACTATATTATTAGGAAAGGATAAAAGCATATCCTTGACATGGCAATAATGTCTGCAGTATGTTCATGGTGGGGAACAAAGCCCAGAGAAGGTTAAACTCTTCCATCACACTTCTTCTTCCCAAAGCTGATGGGACAGCATGTACAGGGCACTTCTTTACTTAGCAGTGGAATATGGGGCAGTGACCCCAAGCCCTGCAGAGTCATGCAGATAAATTAGCTTGGGTCCTGAAAGTGGGCCATTAGCCTGAGCTAATAAGCTTTGCCTTTCAGCAAGATCACTTAGCCCAGGCACAAGTTTGTGGTGATGGGGCCATGATGTGTCTGGTTTAAAATTTCTCTCAGTTCTTGAGAGATCCACTGAGTACTGTGAGCATTCCTGTATTTCAAATGGATGCTGTGAAGCTCAGAATTGCTGTGTCCTCCTGAGGCCTCCTCTGGCACAAGATGGGCCAGAGTCTTGGTGCCAAGAGTACCTTGGTATGGCAGACCAAGAGAACCTCTTTAGTGTTGCCAAATGCCACACATAATTCTCAATGATGTGGTCTTCCTTGATCAACAACAATAAAGATGAAAACCTGTTCAGAAAGACGGTTGGTTCTCCATACTATGTCCAGAACAAGACTGCACATAGGCAGGACACATTTCAATGTGGGAAGTAAATTAGGCAACAGATGGGCAAAGGAGGTGTTGGCCAGATACTTAGGAAAAGACCAGTGTGAAGAAATTTCTTAAGCTTATTGATAATTAAAATGTATTGATGATGGTTTTCTTTCACCTCTAATGTAAGTTTTGAATATCCAGGTGATACTACATCCAGAGTTTCTTTCTTCAACAAGCCCATTGCTGCCCTTGGACTATGAGGAGTTTGTTAGAGGCTGCCACCTTGGAGTATTTCCATCATACTATGAACCCTGGGGTTACACTCCAGGTAGGCCATCTGTACACTTAACTGGTATCAAAAGATGAATATCCATTCTGTTGGTGCAGAATAGCTTTGCAGACAATTTCTTCCAGAGTGCTGAAAAGACTCTTTAGATTCTGTTTCTCCTGCATGGCAAAGGTCTTACTGCTTGCAAAATTTGGGTGCCAGATGGTATAGAATGGCATCTACTCACTGGCAACCACTCATATTTGCCCCTGCACTGGACTCTTTCCTACAGTAACATATAATCTTTTAAATTTCTGTGGCTTTAGAACAACAACAACAAAATTTTAAAACTTAATTCTTAACTTGATTCAAGAATTTTAAAAGAATATTTGGAAGGATGTACATATTGAAAAAACTAGAGCAATAAATGTGATGCTAGCAGCTGACAGAGCTCAGTAGATTTAATTCAAGATAACAATTAAGTTTGATAGAATTATGTAACATCATATCTAAGATATTGACCACAAGTACATGCAGTGATAGAAAATCTCACAGAATTAAATGGACATACAGAGACCACATAGTAACTGGTTTAAAAATATTTGGCTCTGATTTACAAAAGGCACCTGATGAAATCAGTGCAAACTATGAACTTGAATACCTATGAAGATGAAAGCCTAGGTGCCTGGCTTTTTTATGTCCTCCAAAATATCTTCTGTAGTTAGGTTACCTATCTGAAAGTTGGGGTGCCCCTCTGAAGAGCATTTGTTATAAGCCAATGAATCAGAGTAGAAACTTGGCAAATTTAGGCATTCTCCAGAGCTATTTCTCTTCAAGTAAGAGAGCTACTCGATTCCAGGTAAGACAACTGTCTTGCATTCCAGCAGTTTCTCTCCCTGTTCTAATCTCAGCTACGATATAAGGCAAGTGACAGTCAAGGATGATTTTCCAGTGAATATTAAAGTAAACCTGGACAGAAAAATTAGACTGGTGCTTAGCAGTTTTAAGGAAAGCTGTGTTTTATACTGTTAGTTAAAAGAGTAGTTTCTCTTTACTAATGCAGAAGTGATTCTCTTTGTTGATACCCATTTAATTCTCCCTGAAACAAAAAGGGTTGTTTTGGTTTTTTTTTTTTTTTTTCCCCTAGGGAGATTTATAGCTCTATTCCTATAAAACACCAGTTTCACTGTCATATGAATGAAAGCCATGTAGATGGCTTTTAACATTTCAAAGACTATTTACTGTTTTCTGCATGCTGTCTTAGGTTGGGCTTAAGTTTATCAGCAAAGCTCTTTAAGCCTGAATAAACAGTTATCCTTACTCGGAGCAATGACAGAAATAAGTACAAAAGATGCATACATTTTCTAATTGTGTAAAACTAGCTTCACTTCTACTTTGAATGGAGTTCTGAGTTAATGATGAGGTTTCTTGGGTTTTCTTCCTTGCTATAGGAGCAAGTTTACAAACAATGAATACCAAAATACAACATTGAGAATCCTCCTGCACTTAAGAGATTCAGTTTTGTGAATAGTTGTGAACAACTACTGAACGTACATGTATATCAGGCTTCAATTTAAAATCCAAACAGTTCAGACCATTTATGGGGTTCTCTGTTTCAACACTGGACTCCCAGAAGGCTTTCAGTTTAGCTGCTAGGAAATAAAGATATGTTCACAAAAACCGTGTGCAATTTTCTCTTTAAGATTTCTTTTTCATTCATTTTATTTTTCTTTCTCTCCAAATCTTTTATAAGACCTTCTGTCTGCCTGTTTCCTTTTCTTTTTTTTTCTCTCAAGGTGAGACCATTCAAAGCATATTGCTCTGAAATGCTTTTTGTCTGTTTCTTTTGCCAGCTGAATGTACTGTGATGGGCATTCCCAGTGTAACCACAAACCTGTCTGGATTTGGCTGTTTCATGCAGGAACATGTTGCTGACCCAGCAGCTTATGGTAAAATTTTTCACACCATATCAAAATACCAATTCTGAGTTAGGAAAGCAAAAAGCACAACGATGGTGCTGATACTCCTCAATCTTGTGCTTTCACTACTGCAATGGAACTCATTGGGAGAATATATTCAGAGCTCTGAATATCTCATTATGTTGAACAAGCCATTCAAGCTTTTGTATTTATCCAAACCCTTTCCAGGTTCTCTCTCTCTTGTCTCCATTTAACCTGTTGTCTGCTTTATCCTTCCAAACTCAACACTCCTAATAGTACTCTAGAGTCTCCTAAAACTTCCCTTTAATGCTTCTGGTTACACTGTGATACTCAGAGCCCTTCAAAAGAAGCAGTGAAAATCTGCTCCTTTTGAAGAGTCCAGTGAAGGTGCACTGGGACTTCAAGGCCAGTGAAACTTGCCCCCACTAACCAAAGAGTGAATTATTATGTACACTACAAAATAAACCTGTGAAAATAAAATGAACCTACGTACAAATAAGAATCTGCTCATAAAGGTTTAGAAATGGTTCATGACTGGAGAGTGGTGAGGAGGAGGGTAGCCAGCTCCTGGTGTATGAAGACAGTATTGAAGATGTGCCCAAACTAGGGCCTCTTTTGGAGTACCTTGTCTTGCTTGCACAATCAGGCAATGCCAGCTCCACAGTAGTACGAACTATGCCCTTATCTAGAGGCCAGGGTAGAACCAGTTGCAAAATACAGCTACAGCTGCCTGGGTAGATATGCCTTTGAGAGCCTTCAGAAAGGTCACAGACCTAGAGCACAGGTCACTTGCTCTTCTCTGCCAAAACACAGATGTGAGCATTGACATGGCTTACTGTGCCTTCACAGGGGACACTGGGCACTGCAGTTAAGGTCATTGTGCATCTCTCTTGGCCATTAAGATGGCTAGAGGTCTAGTGCCCTCTTCTTCCCAACACCCTGGTGTAAGGAAGGCTGCAAGAATAAAGTACTGCCCTTGACAAACAACACAGGGGCAAAGTTTACCTCGTCCATCTCTCTGCCAGAATTGTATATCAGCTAATGCATCTGAGTTCTCTATCTCTATGGAAACACTTGTATCTCTACAGAAGATACAGCCTCTCTCCCACAGGCTGATTCCGACCATCCACAGCTATAAATTCTACTGCCAACTAGGAAAGCACTAGATTATTTTTTTTAAGTAGTTAGTTTTAACCAGAAACTCTTGCATCACTTTGGACATACTTACACAACAACAACAGAGCCTGTGAGGTCTGAATAATTTGCTGAATTTCAGCCTGAAAGGCAAAGAGAATGAAAATTAAAAATTATATATTTCTCTGCAGCTTTCCATTCCATCAGAACAGTAATAAGTAATCCCCTTATAGCTGCCTTCTGGCATTAAAAAGAACTTATAATACATGTATAGTTTCTAAGACCACATGACAGAAGGTTGAATAGAAATGTAAAGAGGTTAGACTCCATTTTTTGTTTCACTTATTTACACCTCTCTTGGGTCCTTCAGGCATCTACATTGTTGACAGGAGGTTCCTCTCCCCTGACGAATCATGCAACCAGCTAACTCAGTTCCTGTATGGATTTTGTCAGCAGTCCCGTCGCCAGAGGATCATCCAGAGAAACCGAACCGAGAGGCTCTCGGATCTGCTGGACTGGAGATACCTAGGCAGGGTGTGTGAAGCTATGTCATAGAAGCAGTCACAATTCCAGGCCTAACTCGCAGTCTTTGGCATCGCGACGGAATGGAAGGAGACATTCCTGTTCCAAAGAGCACTTCTCAAAGGTCCTAAAGGCAAAGCCTGGCTTTCCATGTCAGTGTAATGCTTCCACTCTCCAGTGGTGAGGAGAGGGATGGCTTAACTGGATAGATTAGAGCAGGAGCCAGGTACACTGAGGTCTTTGTACTCCTGGTGCTAAAGACCATGTAAAAAGCTTGTGTCTCTGACAACACTGCAGCCCTACATGAAGCAGGATTTGTGCTCCTAAGTCATCTGGACTCTTTCAAAGATCCTGCTTGTTCTTCCTAAAATGCTGCTGGGCTTTGTGGCTCATCAACACTCCTAAACTTCCTCTGTCCTTTAAAGGTAAAATAATGTTTTTAGTTTCACAAAGAAAACACTGCAGAAATACCTATTTGGAAGACACTAGCACAGCAGTATTCTCAAGTCCACAGAAGCAAAGGAGTGAATGCACACATGTCAGTTTTGTAACTATTTTGGACCTTGTCCTGTGCTGATATCTCTGTGAGAACCTTTCTGTTTATATGCTTCCCAACACAGCATAAGACCCTGACACAACAAGCTATTTTTTCCACTCATGCTCATTTTATGTTCCTTTATTTCCTGCTTAAATCCACCCAAGACTTCCTTGACTTGTAAAGGCTTGTGTTCTATTTTGCAGTATTACATGCACGCCAGGCACTTGGCCCTCAGCAGAACATTCCCAGATAAATTTGAGATGGAACCAAGCGCTCCACCAAAGGTACTGTCTGCTTCTGGAGATGAGTTCATCTGCATTTTAGCTACTTTTCAAAGAGAGAAAAAGCATGTGTGTGTGAAAGAGAGAGACAGACAGAGAGAGAAATGTCAGCAAGTTTTGTCTTCATTGAAGGGAAATAGGAACTCATAGTTAAAAGCTCCTCAAACTATACACCCAAGCTCCAGCCAGCAGTTGTAATGGTATCAGACACAAACACTAAAGGTACCAGATGAAGCACAGGAACAGTTCTTCAGGTGATTTAGAGTGACCTGGTTGCAGGACTCTGCCACTTTAGACCAGCTGAGGAACTGGACCTTGAAATTCCTATTAGAAGAATGGCAACTTCCAATTTTTCTTCTGATGAAATGCCATGGAGATGTTCTGCACAAACTAAATAGAAGGGGAGTTGGGAATGGATGTTTGAGGGAAAGGATGTTCCAGGTAAAGAGAGGCAAAGTACTGCCTTCATCTAAACATGGTGTTTGTGAGGAGGAGGCTGTGGCTGGGACTGCAAGGGGTCAGTTTAAAGGCACACCTTCAAATAGTTCTTGCCCAGTGCATATTAGCACAAATTTGAGAAGAGAGGCTACTCAGACTCAGTGTAAGAACAAAGTTATTGAAATCAAATGTTCAGACACCTCCACAGAGAAACTGATTTTTTTTAAATAATAAGAAGAAAGGAGGCTCAGACCAAAACCCCTTGCTTGGTTCTGGTTTTGCAGATATTGACATTATGATTAGAAAACTGGTTTAGAACTTCAGACTGAATTCTGAATTTCAATAGGCATATTCTAACTAGAGTACAGAAGGATTTTGTGTTGTGTTGACAGTTTTGAGGCTTAATAAGGATTATCATATTTGAAAAAAAGCAGTGCTGGAAGCATAAGAGTGTGTGCTTACTGGCAGAGAAAGACTGAGGGGATCTAGGTACAAGGGAGCTTAGTTTTGGAATGCAGAGCAGGACAAGCTTACCTCTGGTTTCCTTTGAAACCACCACTGGTTTCCTTTGAACTGCTGATTGCATTAAATTGCTGTATACAACCAGCAGAAGAACACTGTGATAATATAGTGAACTTGCTTCTCTCTCTGTCAGACGGAAGGTTTCAGCTACCCCAGGCCCTCATCAGTGCCACCATCACCTTCTGTCTCTCAGCATTCTACTCCTCACCATAGTGAAGATGAAGATGAGGATGAAAGATATGATGAGGATGAGGAAGCCGAAAGGGATAGGCAAAACATCAAGTCTCCCTTTTCCCTTGGAGTATTGCCACAAGGAAAAAAGAAGCAGCATGGAGAATACAGGAACTGAAGTAGTTGCTCTTGCCTTGGCAGGGTCTCTCCATCCATTCAACAGTTTCTCCTGTAGGCTTGGCAAGCTTTGTGTTAAGGACAGTGTGATATACTTAGGGGAATGTTAAATGTTGCTTGAGATACAGTGCTGGAAACCTAATATTATTTGACCTTGAAAGTAGTTTAAATGACAATTCTTCTGTGCCCCGTTGAGGTAGAAGAGATTTCTCAAGCTTAATAAACCTAGAGAATGTGACAATCCCCTCAGGAGCTTATACAAACTGCAGATCATTCCTTTCTCTACATAGTCCTCTGTATTAATCATAGTCTATGCTGATAGCTCCATTATGAGTGTCCCAAAGGAATTCCTGCTTCATTTATGTTTCCCTGCCCCCCTCCTGAACTAACATGAACTTTAAACCAGAGCTCAAAAATTTAGAGAAAGAAAGTGTTACACTGGGGAAACCTTGGCAGGGTTAAAAAAGATAAACTGAAAAGAAAATGGTCTTTCTTTTTCCTTATGCTGTTTATTGTAAGCTTACATCATTTAAAACATTTTTTTTTTGCAACTCACAGAAGTGTCTTGATCCAGTGGTAAAACAGACTTCCTGTGGAACACTATAAAGTCTTATGCAGTGGGCATTTGTATTCTAGAGACAAATGAAGTCATCTTTCTGAAGTCATTTAGATGCACAATAAACAGCAGACCGTTTATTTTCTGATTCTTCTGGTATGTCTCTTCTATTGTTTTCACCTTGTCTTAGACTCTAAATTTGTTAAGAAACTAGTTTGGGAGGAAATTAATATGACTTGGCTTAAGAGCATGACAAAGTTTCCTTAATTAACACCTTCTCCTGCAGACAAATCCACATGCCATAGAGCAATGAGACAATATTCAGAGAGTAACTCTAGATCTTCCAATTGCCACATTACTCCATGATCTATTTCACCTCTTCAAGAAGAGACCTAATCATAACAAATACTGCTAAAAGGATTCCAAGAACACATCTGCCCCACAGACATCATTTCAAAAAGCACCTGGAACTTCAAAGTGCTTGGGGAATAACCAAACCTCACAACAAGAACCAGACTTTTCATTTGCCTTACAGAAAGCTCTCAAAAGTTCATCAGTTCATAGAGGTGCAGTGTCTGAATGTGCTCTTCAGAAGCAGGCCTTGACATGAAGACGTCAAGTCTTGAGATGAAAAAATTTGGAAGAAGACTAATCTTTTACTTGAGAAATTTGTGTCTCAAAGATTCCTCATTCTGTTCACAAAAGAACTTCCAGGAACTGACTGAGCCTGTTCTTCAGCAGGTAGGATGACATAACTTTTGGAGGTATTTACCTTCACTGTCAATCCCAGGGTGAGCCTAGAAGTCCAACTTTGATTGACACCTACCTTTCAAACACTTAACCAACATTTGATGACATGATTCTTGTTATAGGCCACATAGGATAAAAGTGATTAAGTGACTATTTTTATTTTTGGCCACCTAAACTCAGTTTTAAAATTGGACTTTCATTCGGAAGTTGATTGGATACATGAAAGAATAAATATTCTCAGAAGACAAGTTCAGGCTTTTATGGCAAAAACTTGATTGGATTTGAAAGGAGTCACTATTTTTTTTAGCTGTTTAAAAAGTAATTAAAACAGTGAGTAGTTATTTTTCATATGAAAGTTGTGAAAGCAAAGATATTGCAAATATTTTCCTTCAAACAGTTTACTAAGTGGAAAGAAAAAGTGCTGAAAGATGTGATCACTACACACATAGATGTTGATAGATGATGGAGGCACAGCATGGACAATATGGAAGTGGAAAGGTTTTGCTTGGGTCACATAAAGACAGCTACACTTGTTCCTTCTGGACAAGTCCCAAAGGAAAAAAATTAAGCAACATGTATGATTCAGGTTCCAGGTTCTCTTATGTGCTTATGGTGTGTGAGTTCCCTGGGAAGAGCAGAAAGCTGTCACATCTTGCACAAATCCAGCTGTGTTTGAGCAGGCTGGTGTGCCTTGAGTGCCTGCCTGGTGACAGAAAGTGCACAACTATTTGAGATATGAGTAATGTGAAAACGGTGCCTGTTCTCCTCAGAAATGCTCCCATGGTGGCTGAAGTGACCTCTGCTTCATGCCTCTAGGCTTATTTTAGTTCTGCCCTGCATGCTAGGATTAGCCATCAGTAGCAAAGCAATTTAACTACAGCAAAACATTTCTGCCTTTTGAAATTGCAGTGGTAGAGGGAATGGCTTTTCATTCAGTAAAGGCAACAGATGGCCCAACTTAAATGCCACACATTTCTGAGTTACTGACATCTGACAAGCTCAGCAGCAAGCTCTCTGTTACATAAGCAATTATCTGCCAGATTGAAAATATTAGAGTTTCACAAACAGCTCACCAGCAAGGCAGGATGTTTATTCTGTTTCAATATTTGTAAGGAATTGTTTAAGCTAGTGAGCTTGGGTCAGGAATACCTGCAAAAATCAGTCAGCTGGGAATGTGACCAGTACAGTTTTTGTATCTCTAGAACATTTTAGAAGCATATGAATTTCATGATACTAACAAACCAAAGCCTTCTACTTTTTGTCTGAGCAGTGACCGATCACAGCATCAAATATGCTGAAAAATAACTTAAGGGCACCTGAGATATTCAGAGTATGTTTGAAATTAAGAGCAATTCAATTAATGAGAAGATTCTGGTGGACACCGTTGGACTTGAGATGGAGTTCATCAGGAATGCATCCTGTCACACAACATACACTGCTACTGAAGGATACAGCAGTGCTTACAAATGAACAAACAAGGACATTTTCATTTGTTCCTCCTTGAAATGATATAGATTATAAACAATTACTGAAAGGGCCCATAGCCCCATGATAGAAATTAATTCCTCTGTTCCTTCAGCTGCATTTCTTTGTGTTGAGAAGAAGCAACATTACAGTTGGTGTGAGTGAACAAAATGAATTAGCAGTGTCATGAGAAAGATCAGAGGAACGTAGCATTCAAAGATGAAGAGCACAACTAGGGCTAAAGGTTAAAAAAATAAAACAGCGTTGCTTGGACACAAAAATCACGTGGCTACTTTTTAATTACATGAGAACTACAGAGGGCTTTCCAGGAAGGACACAAAGCTACATAAATAATGTTCAATTATTAGCATGGAATGATAATTAATCGATTTACATATAATTCCAGTTTTGCAACTCAAAAACCAGGCCAACAAAAAAGTACAGTAACGATGCAATTAACATTCTGTGTCTCCTGACAGCAGCACTGACTGTGTGCCACAGGCATGAACGAGCAAGATGCTGCAAGGCTCACCCCCGTGCCATCTTCATGTGGTGGGACATGCTCAGGAGGGTTGTTCAGGGTATACGTGTCTGCATGCATGGTACTGGGGCACCACTGAGGTCTAAGTGCTGTTGCCTATTCTCTGTGGTGACAGAGACCTGGAAAATAAAAGCTCTCACCAGCTTTGCAGCCAAAGATAGCTGGATTGTTTTAATGTCTCACTGATTTTGTTGACCATCAGCAAGTTACAGGGCCAGCAGTGCAGTGGTGAAGGAACCTACCTCTATGAGAAATAAAAAGGCTTCAATAGACAGCTGGGTTGAAGATGGTAAAAGGTTTCCCCATGACTACTGAAAATTTGCTTTTAATGAACAAGGTGTCCATAAAGATGGTTTTCATCATCTTTTCAGGTAGGATGGTACAGTGTATTTTAAATTTTGGGTGTGATACACCAAATGGTCAAAACAAAGCAAGAGGTTCACAAATACTTTCTTCATCTGAACTATCAACCTTTAATCCCTCTGCATTCAAACTTTTGCAGTGTGTATATATGTCACTCTTTGGCAACTTGAGTAAGGCTGGATGAAATATTCTGTTTACACAAGTCATGATATCAGGGTTTATGCAATACAAATGTTAAAGAAATTTGAAACATTTCACCAATTTGACAGATTATCTGTCAAGAAGCCAGGGTGATCACTGTTTCCTTCTTCAACTGTAAGACAAGACAGAAAGAGGAAAAACAAGCTGTAGATAAAGGAAAGATGAAGTCAGCCAAGGTTTTGATGAGGTAAGTGTGCTTCAGGCACAAGCCTAGGATAATATAACTCCTTAGTTAAGAAATACAGGTGATAGAAATAATCCAATAGAAATAATATATTTTTTTCCTCATTTTAAATGCAGGAATTTTTCTGTATGCTGAAGAGGAAAGATACAAACTGTGTCCAGAGCAGTATCTTACTATAAGGCACAAATTTTTCATGCAGAAGAAAATCAACCATTTGTTCTTTATTTGCAAGAGTATTCTAAACTCACCTGAAAGTGATCTGAAAGTGCACAGCTTACTCAGGTTTTACTGCCTTGTTCCCTACGACAAAGATGGCTACATTATTCCACATAGTGTTTTTCAAACAAGCTGCTAGTTCTGCTTATCCCTCTCAGATATGTCACCTTTTTTCTCAGGGGGCTGTTGCTGTCCACCATCTCCTCTAAAAAACCAATAGCAGGCAGGAAAATACCACCAAAACTTATGAATGGTGAAGTTCAGAGGATTTGGTCTTTTTCTTAGCACACAAATGACACTTTCACTGATTTATCTTCAGAACTGCTCGTGTATTTTGTCTAAAGCACCATGCTCATTGTTAATTCTGCCTTCCTCTCTCAGCCAAAATGCCAATGAAAGTTTTTTGGTGAGCAGAGTTTTGGCAGGGCAGGGAAGAGAGAGCTGAGCACAGAGCCCCAGTGCCACCATGTACAGAGGGAGATTTCAGGAAGTGGTGAAGACAGGAGTGGTTCCCACATATTTGCACATACCCCAGGTAAATTCTGTGAGGTATTTCTCACACCCTCTTTTCATTTCAGGAGGGGTGTGTACTTTAGATAACTGAGGAGATGTGATATCGTAGTGATGGCAAGGCAGTTGTTTATTACACATTGTTGATGATGTCAAGGGTGATGAGGCAGTAACAGACCTGTCTTACCACTCACCTATGCAAAACCACCTCATATT